AAAAAAAACCTTTAAAAAAGACTTTAAATTCTTTGAAATTATCTATCTTACCTAAAGATAACAACGATGGGTTATGCAACTTATTTATTCGATTTTCGCCAATTTCAGTTGGACACTCTAAGCCGCCGTCTCCAGGAAAGCGTTCAACTCCGCACGCACAAATACTTCCGTGTAGCCGTACCACAAGCGCTTACCGGGCAGTCGCTAGTCGCCCTTGTCGGAGAGAAGGTTAATCTTGCTCTTTTGTGCTGCTCTTTTGCTATGATTCGCTCTTTTTTTAATACTTTGAATTAGGCTGTTTAAAGTCATTAGAGAAAAAGAGTTACTCCCATTGCACTTTTAGCGTATCATATCTTAATTTTACATAACTTTCGAAGCATCTCGTGAAAACTCGTACACAAGTTAAAATCATATCCCACCTCCTGTCATCGCCATGTGTTTTTCATGCATATCGATTTGTTAGAGCTTTTCATTCTCAGATAGTCTAAACTTATTGGATTTAGGGTTACGCCGAAGATGAAGCGGAAGCCGTCCACTTGGCCACCCTTCTGCTTCAACATGGATACCTATTCCCGGTTATCGAACCAGCTTTAACCGTACGTGATGACGGTACACTCTATCGGCTACAGCGACCGTATTTTTGGCCATCACACGCTACGCAAACGGACAATGTAGAGTACGGTAAGTCAGTGTGTCTATTACTGTGTCCGTGCCTCATTGGTTGACTTCGTTTGTTAGGGATTCAATAATTTGTTTATTTCTCGAATTTCGCTACGGATCAGGTCTGAGATCACATGAAAGTCGCACAGCAAGTCTTGCAAGAGTGTGTTTTAGCGTGATACCCATTGATATTTTTGAATTATTGACAGATGCTCTCGTACCTCTATAATCATGTTCCTGGCTCTCATGGTTACGAAAGCAGCCCTTAATTATATGATTTAATAATTTTACTATAATTATATCTTTTTATAGTCATCGGAAGTACTGCCCGGACCAGTTTCTAATTTCAAAATTTTTTTTTATTTTTTAACTTTTCTAGACTTCTATATAATATATGTTCATAATTCATAGAACATTTAGAAGAATTTATCGTCGAGGCCTTTTACGAAATATTTAAATTGGGTTATTTTACAAAGTACTAGCTGCTCTACCTCATGTTTGTCGCGATTATCATCTAATTCTGTGTAAATACCATATCTTATGAATTTGCTTGAGCTCCGGAAGTTACACCATTTTAGGTTAATTCATAATATTTCTCTCTGTATTTTCTGCAAAAAATCCAAGTGAAGGTAGGATATTCCAAAAAGCGATTTTGAATCCAAGATAGTTTCATGATAAGTTTCCAGATGAAAAGGATAGCCAAAACTTTCGCCAGATTAACAAAATATTGAATCTCTCAATGTATAACCGATTTTTGAAGTCATATGCTTTTGCTGCTGGACCTTTCATAACAAAATTGACACTTTAGAATTTAGTAATACACTAATTGCAACAAATTGCAGGAGAAGCTTTGTTGAAAAAATCATTTTCTAAAATTTATTCTCAACATTCTGTATCTCCAATATCCTCGAAAGCAGCTAAATAGTTTCTGCTGTTTTTAATCAATGCTCTAAATTATGCAGTGTTTTAGGCTTAGGCAGGTTTACAGATCAATTTTTTCCCAATTTCTCCTGCAACCAAGGACTCGCGCTGCTTTTGCGCCAGTCTAAAAGACCTCATATCGGTATAGCTTTTTTTTTGAAATGCGATATATGACGTGGTTAGTATGAAGCTATATGGCAAATTGTCGGCATTCACTGTTGCGTTCCTAATTTTGACTAAACCTCGTCTTCTTCTTTGCCCCTACTCTCCATGCATCAGATGTGATAATCAAAACAAAATAATTGGAGGCCGTTTAAGAGAGGATTTTTTCTACTCTTAGTCGACTTACTTTATGTTTAAACCTCCTCAGATCTCGTAATCGCAATGTTAAACTGGATTTCAAGAAATAACCTCATT